CCCCAAAACCCCAAAACCCCAAAACCCCAAAACCCCTTGAACGACCGAACTAATATATTTAGAGTCAGAAAGGATTAATAATATTTAAATATGTCAGCTACTTCAAGATTAAAGAAATTTATATGTACTGCTCAAGGATGCAACAAGGAGTATAGTACAAAGTTTGCTCTGCAACGTCATTTATACACACACTCAGGCATCAAAACCTTTACTTGCAGCTTTTGCCCAAAGAGCTTCTCACTTCAGCAATATCTTCAAGAGCATGAGTTTACTCATACTAAAGCTAAGCCTTTTGTTTGAGGTATCGATGGTTGCAGAGTGGCTTTCAGACAAAGAGGGAAACTTTGACTCCATCGAAGTACCCATCCAAGTTACAAGAAATAAAGACTATAAAGTTTATGCAAGAAAAATCAACGGAAGGAGATCCCAGCATAAACCAAAAGAAATGTAAGCCATCTAATCCCTCATCACATCTAGTTTACCAGAATATCTTAAGCAAGTTGAAGAGAAAAAAGAGCATCAACATCTGTTAAAGGATCTAAAAAATTCCCGTACATTACCGATCCTTCCACCAGACAGTATCAGTTCTATAAACCTCACCAACTATTGTCTCTGTGATTTCCAGCTGCCAGCAAAGCAAGCTCCAAGTTCAACATCGAATTTGATTACATTACCTTCCCCTTCTCCACTTCTCTGTGAGTCTCAATACTTCTTCCCTGCTTACTGGCAGGAAGAGCAGAATTGAGAGAGCACAATTATTGAAGTAATAGGGATGAGCCCTCTGGGCTTCGGATCTTCTGGCAGATACTTTTTGTCTGCCATGGACATCTAACGCATACATTAGGAATCTAATTCCACTGGCTCAGGCCTACACTATTCAAGTACATCATTAGAAGAAAAATTCTCTGAAACAACATTTACTAGCTTAGTCACCAATTTTGGATTTTGGGCTTGTTGAGGGCAAAAATTGGTATAGTAAAATTAAAAATGATAGGTGACTAGTCGGAGCAATAAATAAAGATAATATACCCATTCTTTTGAAGTTTCAGGTTTACTGGGAATTTCAAAAAGAATTATGCATTTTTGAGTTTTCAGGGAAAAACTTATATTTTCTCTACAATAATATTCGCTGCTTTAGATAGAGCAATATGGGGACAATATTCTATTCCTATATATTCCCCACCAAATTTCATGGCCTCTATGATTCCTAAATTTTATTTTGAATCCTTTATCATCGAAATCTCCATTTCATTAAAATCAGTTTACCAAAAATTCATAATTTATGGACTAGTATCATCATTTATATCAGAATTAGTAATCAGCCTCACTACCATCTAATTTTATAACGTTAGATCATTCCTTGGAAACTCACTTCCAAATGAAGGTTGGGACTAACAGATCTGTTACTATTGAGTCTATTTGAGCAAATAAGAATCATAAGGGATCCTTAACACTCGCTCAAATCTATCAATCTTTACACTACAAAATTGTTTTTGTCAAATCAAATTCCATCAAAGGTTTACATTTTACTGAATTAAAGCATATCCTTGTTCTGTCTCAATGACTGTGAAAGAAGGAAGCTAATTAGATGAAAGAGACTATATTTCTCCACCTTATTTAGAAGCATAAAAATCTTCATAATGATTCAAGATAGCTAGCTTTTCAATTTGTGTACCTATAAAAGGGGTTTTGGGGTTTTGGGGTTTTGGGGTTTTGGG